GCTAGCCTTGAGCTCAGTTTGTAGCCCAGGCTGGTCTCAAACTCGCAGTGATTCTCCTGCCTCAGCCTCCCGAGTGCTGGGAATAGAGCCATTTTATAAGGCTCAACTACTCCACGTACAGCCTTTCGGATTCACTCTCTCTCTATCAATATGGGTGTAGACATGATGGAAGCTACCACTCGGGGAACATTTTCTCAGAATGGTGGCCTTTTCCTCCAGAACATTTATTTTAACAATACTCCCATTATTTCCAACTGACAATTCAGTATGGATAAAGGACCCAAATAAAATTTTTCAAATTATTTCCCTATGGCTTAACACTGAGACACACAAAGCATAGCCCCAAATAGCTAAGCTTGCGCATATTTATCCTGCACAAAACCTGATGTATATAATGCCACAGGGATACTCACATTTTCCGTTAAAAGCGGGGCACTGTGAACAAGTGTGTCTCTCTCTTCATGCTGAGAAGCACAGAAAAAGAAAAAGTCACTACTAAAAAACCTTGGTTTTCCAGAGAACTATATACTAGAAAAATAAAATAAAACATATCTAAATAAGGTCAGAGGGTTATAATTCCCACAGGTAAGAAAACCCGCTATCTTGGGCAATAGCTACAAACATTCTGAAAGAAAAGGAAATAAGCTTACAAATGCTACAAAATGCCTATAATCATAGCACTCTGGGAGGCTGAGGAAGGAGGATCACAAGTTCAAACCCAACCTGGGCAAGCCAGAGATGTAGCGAGGTCCTGTTTAAAAGTAAAAAGTTAAAAAAAAAGGTGGGGAGGGATCAGTGTAGCCCGCCTGGCGCTGTGAGGCCCTGCCTTCAGTCACCGAAAAAACGAGCCACAAATGACTGCGTCTTTAAGTGGTCATTAATATGAATCTCAGTTCTGCATTAAAAGTAAAGTAAAATAAAAATAAATACCAGAAACAGTAAACATCACTGATGTAGAATTAGCATAGGACTGTGTGTATGTGTGTGTGTGTGTGTGTGTGTGTGTCTATGCGGGGGGGATGGAACCCAGGGCCTCACACATGCTAGGCAAATGCTCTGTCCCTGAGCTACTCCCCAGCACTTTTGAGAGAGGATCTCACTAAGTTACCCAGACTGGTTTCAAACTTGCAACCCTCCTGCCTCAGCCTCCTAAGTAGCTGGGATTACAAGTGTGTGCCACTGTGCTGGATCCATTTTTTAAAGTTGAGGTGAAAGGCACTGAACATACAATTAACCATGAACTACTTTAAAGCTCGCAATTCAAATGCCATTTCTAATTCCAAGACAGTGTCCTTACCTAAAGCTCACCCCCTTGCACTCACAGTCACCCCACCCTGTCTCCCAGTCCCTGTGGACGGACAGGCCGAGTCCCACGTTCCAGATGAAAGGAATTGGCAGTGTCTGCCACCCGCCCCCCGCCCCAGCGCAGTGTCTGTCAGGGACCAAGAGCTCCTGCAGTGCCGTCCAGGACACGGAGGACCACATCCGGTCACCTCCTGCAGCCTGTTCGGTTTGTTGCACCCTGTGATTCCCACCAGGGCGGCGACAGGGAGGACTCGGGTCTCCCTGGGCACTGCTGAGTGCTGCGCTAATTCTACATTTAACTTTGAAAGTTCCTCTAATCCCACCCTTCTGCCCTGAGACGTGGATACAGTACTAATTTGTTTGTTAGTTCTTTCCTAAAAGGGAATGAAGTCCAAGGTTGCGGGAAGCCTTACTGTCACGGCTACCTGCTAAATATACTGAAATAAATATTTGCCTTATTACTTTAAAACATTAAATAAAATCTCACTGTCTGCTTCCCATTTAATGTGCGAATTTCCAATAGAACTGAAATAAACACTAGAATTAAATCAAAACATGCAATGTACACTCACTGCTTTCTAACTAGAGACCATATTGTTACATTAGCAAAACACATACACTCAGAGAAGGGACCTAAACTTGTACCCATACTTAAATGAATCAAATATTTCTACTTACCCACCAATAGTATATTGTCTGTGTTTTACTGTTGCTCACCAATTCTTTATTATTTGCTGGATTAAAAGTAAGGTAGTTCTGAAATACAAGGAATGGAAAATACGTTACATGATAATAAATGCTTTTCCACTGGGAGAGCTAAATGTTAAAATTAAATAATAATTTTAATTAAATAACTGGCGAGGCGTGGTGGTGTGTGAGGTTAGGCAGGAAGACCACAAGTTTGAGCCCAGTCTGGGCAGCTTAGTGAGAACATGCTGTAAAATAAAAGATGAAAATTAAAAGGGGTGAGGGTGTAGCTCAATGCAAAGGCCCTGGGTTCAATGCCTAGAACTACAAGAAACAAACAACTCAGTAGGGATATGAAAGAGTGCAAGAAAAAACATGGTGCTAGGTGCAAGCTTATAATCCCAGCACTTGGGAGGCCGAGGCAGGAGGATTGCTGTGATTGCAAGACCCTGTCTCAAAAATAAAATAAAAAAATAAAAGACGTGGTATGTGGTAAGCAATAAAAATATCATTTAAATACTGGCTGTTATAGTAAGTAGTACAAAGTGTGTTCATTTCCACATCTTACTTATTATAATTCATTGTCTATAAAATGGAGCAAGGAACAGTAAACCAATATTCACTCTGCATGCTCTGCCACCAAGCTGTACCCCGTCCCTCTCCAGAGACCTCCGTCCAGTGTCCCCTGCCAACCGCTGCCCACATGGGGCTAAAACCAACAGGGCTGCAGGACAACTTGGGAAGAAACCCGGGTGCTGGAAGGGGATTCTGTTTTTCTTTTTCTTTTGGTGCTGGGGATCAAACCCCAGGCCTTGTGCGTGCAAAGCCAGAGCTCTACCACTGAGCCCCAGCCCAGCTCTGGAAGAGGGTGCTGGTTCCTGCCAAGATGGGAGTGGGTGGCCCTAGCTGCAGGAACTGAACAGTAAGGAAACAGCACCACCCAAGGGAGCCAGATGTGCGTGTGCAGGCAGCACCCACAGCTCGGATGGGTGCAGGGCTGCAGGGGCGGTGCTGGGCACAGGGGAGAAGCTGCTCCCGTCCCGTCTCCGTGCCCATCACTTCCCCGCTGCTGTGGGAAGGTAAACTACCAAGGTTAGTGTTGGGGTTCACACCCCGACAGCACAGGAGCCGGGGGAGGGGTGACAGGCAGATCCTGACAAGTGCACGAACCTCACAGAGATTGCAAATCAGTCAGCCTGTCCAGAGACAGCTCTAGTGAGTCCATGTCACAAGCAAAAGGAAGGTTTTGTTTCTTGTTTGAGGAAGTTATCATTCCAAACATCGAATTATTTCTATACCTTTTAAAACACAACATCAAGGATGGCATGGTGCTGCACACTTGTAATCCCAGCACTGGGGAGGCTGAGGCAGGAGGATCACTGCAAATTCAAGGCCAGCCTGGGATACATAGTGATTTCAAGGTCAGCCTGAACTATATCATGAGATCCTGTCTTTAAAAACAAAAACAAACAAAAAACCAAGCAAACAAACAAAATCAAGTATTGGATGGAAAATAGCCAGCCAACATCACTGGTCATTCGAGAGATTCAAATTAAAACAACACTGAGATTCCATCTCACCCTGGAAAGAATGGCTATTATCAAGAAATCAAGGAATAAATGCTGGAGGGGCTGTGGGGAAAGAGGAACCCTTCGCCACTGTTGGTGGGAGTGTAGACTGGTGCAACCACTGTGGAAATCAGTGTGGAGACTCCTCAAAGAGCCAAGATTGAGGTCCCATTTGACCCAGCTATTTCCCTTCTGGGTATCTTCCCAAAAGAATTAAAAACATCATACAGGGGCTGGGGATTTAGCTCAGTGGCACAGCGCCTGCCTGGCAAGCGCAAGGTCATGAGTTTGATTTCTGGTACCAGAAAAAAAAAAGGAGTAAAAACATCATACCACAGTGATATATGTGCATTCATGTTTACAGCAGTACAATTTGTAATAGCTAGATCTTGGAGACAATTTAAATGCCCATCAACCAATGAATGGATAAAAAAGAAGTGGTCTTTTTATATAATGGAGTATTACTCAGCCATAAAGAAGGATAACCTGGAAACTTTTATAAGTAAATGGATGCAACTTGAGACCATACTCATAAGTGAAGTAAACCAAATGTACATGTGTAAACATCATATTGTCTCTAGTGTGAGAAGCTGAAAGAGTAAACAAGATCCAAAATATATAAGAGACATTGTAAAATGGGAAGAAACTTCAAGAGGAAAGAGCAACTGGGCTGGGAGAATGGAGAAAAAAAGGAAGGGAAAAGAAAAAAGAAAAGATTATATATATAAAAGATAACTGAAATAGTTATACTATTAATTTCTCTTAGTTCATTGAAAAGAAACATTTCTGCTAATATTGTTTGGACAATTAAATGCTGATATCTTGTACTCTGAGTAACTAATTTAAATATAACAATATGCAACGTATTAACCATTGTTACCCTTCTCTCATCTCATTTAAAATTGTTTGTTTTGTCTTTAAAAGAAAATTATTTTTTAAAAAAAGAATCAAATAGGCCAGGGGTATAGCTCAGTGGCATAAGCGTTTGCCTGGCAAGCCTGAGGTCATGAGTTTGATTCCCGGTACCAAAAAAAAAAAAAAAAAAAAAGAATCAAATAGAAATTCTAGAGCTGAAAAACATGATTTAAAAACTCAAAAGATGGTTTAAAAGAGAATTAGACATAGCTGAAGAAAGATTAACCAGTGGAAAAGGGAAACAAACAGTAGAAACTATCCAGGCTAGAGCACAAAGGTCAAGGACAGAAAAACAGAAAAGAGCAAAAGGACACAGTAGAAAAAAAAAAAAAAAAAAGTCCAGCTTACAGGTGATCGGAGTTCTACGAGAACAGGAAACATGTGGTGCAAGAGATGTTTAGAGAAATAATGCTGAGAATTTTCCAAAGCTGAGGAAAGAAGTGATACACCCCAGCTTTGAGAAACCCGAAGAATGTCTTTTTAAAAAATCAGCAACATGCGCTATACACAAAGACACACTGCTGAAAAACTGCTGAAAGCCAAGAAAACAAATCTTTAAAAGATCCAGGTTACTTTCAAAAGAGGGGCTGACAGCTGACTTCTGAACAGAAATGGTAGGAGCCAGAAGACAATGGAATTCTACCTTCCAGGCGCTGGAAGGAGAAAAACCTACCACTCCAGGACACAAAACTCGGGGAAACACCCTTAAAAAGTAAAGACCGTGGCCACGAGAAATTAAGAGATACATACATGAACCACAAGCAGGACACAACCCTCGTGTCCTTCAACAGAGAATAAACAGATGTTTCTAGCCATGAAGAAAGATGAATTATTGAATATATGACAACACAATTGAGTGAAGCCAGGGACTCTGGGAGGGAAACAGACCATACACACTAAGGATGCAGAGGACAGATGCTGGGAGCAGATGGAGGGATCAGGCCGTACCTGGGAGGTCACAGAGCAGAGTTCGGATTTTGTCGTAAGGGAAGTGCGAAGTCACAGAAGGGTTTTAAGTAAAGGAGGGGCACAATGTTTTCCTCGTTACAAGAAACGTACTGTTGGCCGGGCATGGCGCTGCATACCTGTAATCCCAGCACTCTGGGAGGCTGTGGAAGGAGGATTGCAAATCTGAGTCCAGCTTTGGGTAAAACCCCCGTCTCAAAATTTAAAAAATACATTGGACATGAAGGTGGCCTGGCTGTGATACGGGTCACCCCACCGACGGTCAGGCTGGATGTGGGTGACCTGGCCGGCCAGGCGGGTGTGCTTCCCCTCCCTCACTGCTCTTTCAGTGGCCCCCAGGAAGGTGACCTTCCCCAAAGGAGCAGGGCTGCCTCCCTGCTAGGGTCACACAAGTGGCTTCACTCCCCAGCTAGGGAGGAAGAGGGCTGCGGGGTGAGGAGGGAGGCCAGTGAGGGCGCAGGGGCTGCCGGGGTCTCACAGGTGAGGCGGATCCTAGCCGGGCAGAGGCGGAGAGGGGAGGAAAAGCTCGGAGCCCGGGCGGTAAACTTGCAGCCTGGGAACGGAGGGGAAATCCCAGAGGAAAAGCCGCACCATGAGGCGGAGGCTGAGGAGGGAGAGGAGGCGCCGGGAGAGGGAAACAGGAGGACGGCAAGTTCGAGCCCAGCCTGGATAACCCAGCAACTTAATGGAACCCTGCTTCAAAATAGAAAATAAGAGGGTCTGCAAACGCAGCGCGGCGCAGAAAAGCCTGGGTTTGACGCCGCGTACTGGAAAAAGACAACTGCGCTTAGTAAAGCTGAGAAACAAACATGTCATTTTATTTCACTGTAATCAGTTGAAATTTAAATAGTGCATTCGGTAAAGTTGCAGGACACAAAACCAACCCACAAACCCAGCTGCCTTTCTATGTATCAGCAATAGACAAGCAGAATAAGAAATTAAGAAAACAATTCTACTTAAAAGAGCACTAAAAGGAATAAATTTAACGCAGGCGGCGAAAGGCGTAGACCCTGGAAATTACAAAACACTGCTGAAAAATTAAAGAGGACATAAACAACCAGCAAGGCATCCGGTGCTCATGCACGGGAAAGCGTTACAGTTAGGATGAGGACCCTCCACGTGACCCATGTACTCAGTGCCGGAGAGCCTTTGCGGAGAGCTCTACGCGCCGCTGGCGCCGGGGCAACGTGGGCGCCCTTCTCAGGGGGACGGCTCACCTGGGATCCGTACTCTCTGGGGAGCTTGAGGGTGCACGCGGGCGTCTCCACCGCCAGAGTCCACCTCCAGATGCTCACTTCCTGCGCGAGAACAGGGCCGGGCCTGAGGCCGGGGAGCCCACGGGGAGGCCCGGAGCATGCGCAGAGCAGACCCCGGGCCCTGCGCAGAGGTGCCCGCGAGGACGGCCGGCCGGCTTGCCGGGACGAGCCCGGGGCCCTGTACCTGGACTTCGGCGTCGGAGATGGTGGCCAGGTACTTGGCGTCGCGGCTGATGGCGATGGCCCTGATGCCGTTGCCTTGCGGGCAGCTGTCAAATATGGTGTGCACGGGGATGCTGCAAGACAGGGAGAGGACCGGTCTCCTTTCGGGGTCATGAGAGGTGCGGCACCAGCCGGGGGGACGGCTGACCGCACCGCGTCGCGAAGCGCCCAGCTGCCAGGTCGCTGCACCCACTGAAGCGTTCCTGTGGGTCTCCGTGGTGACCGCGGCAAGCTGCACAGGGCTGCTCACTCCCGGCGCGGGCCTCTGGGGGGCGCTGTGCCACGTGTGAGGGATGCAAACACGGGACCCGAGACAGGACGAGAGGACAGGGACAGCGAGTGTACACGTGCATGCCCGGTGGTCGGCACTGCCACGCCCAGCCTTTGCCCAGAGGAACAGCACCGACCTTACACAAAGACAGGTGAAAGTACATGGGGGGGGGCGGCTGCATCCACAGCAAAAACCAAATAGCACAAATGTCTGTCAACAAGAATTATTTTTAAAATGTTGCCACATAACCATATAGTGAACAACTATGCAGCCTTCAAAAAAGAATGAGATAGCTGGGCATGGTGGCGCACACCCGTGATCCCAGCACTTGGGAGGCTGAGGCAGGAGGATCACCTCGAGGTCAAGGCCAGCCTAAATTACACAGTGAGACCCTGTCTCAAACAAACAGACAAAATGCACTTGGAGGGCAACCCTCAAACTGTCAGGAATGACACAACTGCAGGTCTTAGTGGGAAAATGACCTTTTCCCTGAGATATTTAAAATAGAGACCCTGACGTCAGTCAGGTCTGTACTGACATATTTATGAAAAGAAAATTGGTTTATTTTTAAGGAATCCATAATGCTGAAGAGAATCTGACATATTAGAGTTTCCAACAGACTCAATTTGTGATTCTAATTTAAAATAGGTCATTGATTTAGACTTGAAATTTTAAATTGAAATTGTACAAGGTTTATAAACAATACTAGAGCTCTCAGGAGAACGTAAGACTTAGCATATTTATGTCTAAATGTATTAGATTTACAAGAATTACTCATGTACTGATGAAGGATTTGTTCATTAGAGCACTAAAACACTTAAACATAAAACAAAATATATTATGTCTCTAAATGCCATTTAAGATGTTTAAAAAGAATTAAGGACCAAGTGTGTGAAGCCAAACATTAATCAAAGCCTCCTCATAGGTGACTGCAGAAATATGCTACATTTGCAAGCAGAGTAAGACTTTTAAGTTGAACTAAAACCTTAAGGAAGAACCACAGATGTCAGTTTCTCATGTTAATAAAGTGAATATTAATTCCAAAACCAAAACAGTCTCTAAATAATCTCTTCTGGGCCCCAAAGCCATTACAAAACTCACTTATAATGCCTTTCAGTTAACCACAGATATGCTTTGCTTTGGAATTAAAAAAGAAGCCCAGGCTTGGTGGTGTACACTTGTAAGCTCAGTCAGTATTCAGGAGGCTGAGGCAGGAGGATTTCTGTGACTTGGAAACCAGCCAGAACTACATAGTGAGTTCAAGGCCAGAAACCATATAGTGAGATCTTGTCTGAAAAAACAAGCAAACAAAAACATGAACAGATGAGAGGACAAAATGTGTTTGATCCACGTGATGGGACGGTGCTCCACCTGAAATGCAGTGCAGCACCCACACAAGCTTCCCCGAAAGCACTATGCTCCGTGAAAACCGCAGGTTCCACAGAGCACCTACGGCAGGGCCCCACTCATAGGCGGGGTCCTGCATAGATGTGGCCTCTACAGAGGTGGGTGACAGAGGAGCAGGAGCCACCAGGATAGAGCTTCTGCCCGGAGTGACAAAAATGGCAGGAAATAGGGAACAGTGACGGCTGCTGTTTGTGGATATCATCAATGCCACTGAATTATATGTTTAAAAATGGCAAAAGTGATGGATTTGTTTTGCTTTTTCTAGACAAGGTCTCACTATGTAATGCAGGCTGGCTTTGAACTCCCAGCAATCCTCCTGCCTCAGCCTCCTGAACACTGGGATCACAGGCGTGCGTCACCACACCTGGCTATGTGGTAGGTTTTAAAGGGTCTGTACTTTACCACAGTAACATGAAATCGCCACCACAGAGGCTGGACCTGAGAGTGGGCCTGGCCCGCAGGAGGGGCCCAGCTCAGCAGGTGCCTGCTGCCACAGCCTGGCAGGAAGGCAGCTGGACGGGTGCTGAGGTGTCCAGGAGGTGGATGCCACAGGACTTCCGGGCAGTGGCACAGCGGACGCCCCAGGCACACCCCGACGGGATGTCCCCCTGCCACTACTTCCTCTCAGAAAGAGGAGGCAACCCCAGAGCTGTGGCAGTTCCTGTCTGGGGGACCGCGTGCGGGCGGCTCCTCACCGCAGGGACCCGGGAGGGGGACAGTGAGAAGGGACGGGAGCGGAGGGGAGCAGGGCCGTGGCTCTGGAGTCACCACAAGTGCAAGGCGGAGGACAGGGAACGGGGACACGTGCTGTGAGGCCCCGGCGTGCTGGCGGAGCGGGCCCCGTGTCCCTGGCTCCAGGCACCAAGCAGCCTCTGCCACGCCCACCCGCAGGGCCTGCCCAGTGCAGCGGGAGTCCGGAGCCCCTCGCTGCCGCGGGAGGGAAGAAACCCGCCTAGGAGTAGCTATCGCTGGCTGGGGACCTGCAGTGCAGACCCCGCTGTGCTTGTGGGGGGGGGGAGGGTGATGTCCCCCAAATCCATGTCTACCCAGAACCACAGTATGAGGCCTTTTTTGGAAATAGGTTTTTAGCCGGCCACACTTGTGTGATCCCAGCACTTTGGGAGGCTGAGGCAAGAGGCTCACAATTTAAGCCTGGCCCAGGCAACTTAGTGAAAATTAGTGTCAAAATAAAAAATGAAAAGAGGGCTGGGGGGTGTAGTTCAGAGCAAGGGCCCTGCATTTGAGCTCTAGTAGCACAAGAAAAAGGTGGGGAGACCTTTGCAGATGTGAAAATGTGGTCCTACTGGATTAGGATGGCCCTGACCCCAACAGCTAGTGTCCTAAATAAGGGAAGACACAGAGACATGGGGTCCCTGTTATGAAAAAATGGAGATAAAATTGGAGGGCCACAGCTGGGTACGGTGGCACATGCCTATGACCCGAGGACTCAGGGGAGGCTGAGGCAGGAGAGTTGTGAACTGCTTCAAACCTGGACAATTTAGTGAGACCCAGTCACAAGATTAAAACAATAAATAAATAAGTAGATGGTGGTGGTGGGGCTGTGGCCCAGCGGGACAGCGTCTCAGGGTTCAATCCTTGATACCTAAAAAGAAATTAGAGGGTCACACCCACAAGCCAAAAAACTCTGAGGGCTGCCTGCCACCAGCAGCAGGGCACTGTCCTGGGGTGGAAGCCGGGGACCCCAGAGCCGGCGGATGCTCCTCCCTCCCCACACATGCACTGCTGCTCTTCTGGGCCACTTGGAGCCCCTGGGTCCCTTCCACTCCTCCCACCAGGAGAACACTGCACAGTGCCAGGCAGGGGCACCCACAAACCCTGAGCTGCACCCCTCTGAGCAGTCACAGCACTGAAGCCCAGGGGAGCCCCAGGAGACAGACACGGAGCCCCTGAGGTGCTACAGGATCCTGGAACAGAAAAGGACCCGAGACGAAGGGCACAGGGAAATGCGAACAGACTCAGGCAGTGGTTGTGACACACCTCGCCGTGAGTCCCTTCAGTGTAACAAGAGCTGAACACACAGGCAAATCCTTTGTGAAGTGGGGTGGGGTGTGAGGGAGCCTGACGGACTATCCTCTCAATTTGTCTCTAAAGCTCAAGCCCTTCTAAATAAGTATTAATTCTAAAAAAGAGAAAGAGCCGGGCATGGTGGCACACACCTGTAATCCTAGCACTCTGGAGGCTGAGACAGGAGGATCTCTGCTGGTTCAAGGCCAGCCTGGGCTACATAGCTCATACAAACAAATGAGAGCAAGAGACCACGGCTCTGAGCAGAGGGGCCGCAGGGAAATGGCAGCTTTGGGAAGTCCGTCATCAGCTGAAACCATGGCAGGGCAGAGGGACCGAGCATCAGGCAAACCCTTCGGGGAAGACCCAGCAGCAGGAAACAGGCATGCTCAGAGCTGGGGAAGGGTCAGCTGTGGCAACCACTACAACTTCCCAGAAGCAGCAGCCGGATCACCGACCAGATCTGTCTCTGTGAAAGCAGCGTGGCTCATCGCAGGCCACTGGCTCAGCATCTGCTTTATGCTTTGAGCTTGTGTGAGTCGGGTTACTGTGAGTCAGCCTGGCTTGGGGCCCATCCACTCTGGGCCCCAGCCAGGCTCGGCCTTGGCTGAGCCGCAGTGACAGGGAATCTTCAGGAACTGGGAGGGCAGCGCAGCTCCAACCTACCCTGTGAACGAGTCCCATAGGATTATCAGGCAGCCAGGCCCCTTGTCTGCCGTGGCGATCCACCGCCGGTCTTCACTGACACAGAGGCAGGAGATGACGTTAGGGTGGCCCTGCAGAGATGAAGGAGGAAATTTAGCTGCACTCTGGGAGGCTGAGGCAGGAAGGCTGCAATACTGTTTCTCAAAATAAAAAAAGGGCTGGGACACGACTTGGTATGAAGGACCTGGGTTCAACTCCCAGCACTGCAAAGAAAAACAAGACCTGACAAATAAGCTGCGTCCACAGTGGTGGCTCTCGAGGGTGGGGCGCTCCCCACCCCGCCCGAGCTCCCAGCCAGGGGACTAGAGCAGAAGGCGCCTGTCTGGCTGAGCTATGCCTCGGGGGCGCCGCCCACCGATGTCCCCATTGCCCTTCTGGGCGCCAGGAGAGCGAACCCCGAGGTGGCACCGGGGTCTGGGAGCCCTGGCAGTGCTGAGACCGCTGGGCTCACTGACGTCCCAGACCAAGACGGCCAGAAGGAAGGTCCAGGGCCACACGCACCAGTGACAAATGGCACGGGGTTTTGGCAGGTCAACTAGGGGGCAGTCAGACACCTAAATGGGACACCAGGGCAGATGACGACATGAGAGGGGTCCGGGTTGGCAGGACTGGAGGAAGCAGGTGTTGCTTTTCCTTTCCTTTTTTAAAAACAGGGTCTCAACAGGCTGGCTTTGAACTCTTGGGAGACTCTCCTGCCTCAGCCTCCTGAGAGCTGGGATTACCAGCGTGCAGCTCCACGCCTGGCTGCTGCGGAGTCTTGTAACAAAGTCGGAGCAGCCTTCGGTCCTGAGCTGCAGGCTGAGACCGGAGCCCAGGTGAGCAGAGCCTGGGCTTCCGAGGCAGGATTTGGCACCAGGCCTGGAAGGGGGAAGGCGAGGCGAGTCCCCACCCACCTGCAGGTGGTGCTGCGTGTTCTTGGCGACGTTGTAGATGACAGCCGTGTGGCCGCACGCGTACAGCAGGACCCTCTGGTTCCTCTCCCGGATGTAGAAGACAGGAAGTGAGCTGTTCCACCCGAACGACCAGTTCAGGGCCTGGAAGACAGGGGCAACCAGCAAGGTGCTGGGGTGCTGAGCCTGAGCCAGAGGACGGCAGCATTAAGCACTTTGAGACAGCGCTTACGGTGGACCGGGAGGAGTGCATACCTGTAGTCCTGGCTACTTGGAGGCTGAGGCAGGAGGGTCCCTTGACGCCAGGCCTTCAGACCCCATCTCAGAGAAAGGAGGGAGACAGAGGGGAAGAGGAACAGGAGGAGGAGGACAGTAGCAGGAAGGGAGGGGAGGAAGGGGAAATGGGAGCAGATTGGAAGGGACCCTGAAAAGGTGGCACTTTGCAAATGGCCGTGCGCTGTACCAGTCGTGAACAGGCGGGGCCGAGCGGGCAAGGAGTGGAGAGTGACTGCTCACGGCGCGTTTGTCTTCGGGGGAGGTGAAAACCGTCTGGCATCAGACAGTGGTGAGGCCCGCTCGAGGGACCTGGAGCCCCCGTGCAGGTCAAGGAGGTCGCAAAAGGGAACCACCACTCTGGACAACATTAAAACACAGCTGTGTACGTGGCCCACGCCCACAAAGCCCAGCTTTTTGGGAGGCTGAGGCAGCAGGATCACAAGGTGTATCCCAGCCTGGGAAATCTAGTGAGAACTTGTCCCAGAATAAAAAAATATTTTCAAAGGGCTGAGCTGGGGGACGTGGATGAGCATGAAGGCCCTGGGTTCCGTCCCAGGTAACACACGTGCACACACACGCACACTCACAGGGCTGTGTGCAGCTCAGCAGCGAGCGCTTGCTTAGCCACTGGGTTCAACCCCCAGTACTGCAAGGGGGAAAAAGATAGCAGCTACCTAGGTGTCCACGGCTAAGTGAACAGGGGAATGTGGTGTGTCCATACAGTGGAGGGTTTTTTGTTTTTTTTTGAGATAGGGTCTCACCATGCAGTTCAGACTGGCCTTGAACTCGCTGTGTAGCCCAGGCTGGACTCAAACTCAGAGTGATCCTCCTGCCTCAGCCTCCCAAACCCTGGTATTAGAGGTGTGTACCACCATGTGTGGCTCAAAAATTGAACAAGTTTTAAAGTGAATTTTATGGCATTTATAATGACAAAGAAAGTCTTCAACAGTAATAGAAAGAGCTCCCCACTCCTCCCCTCTCCAAGCCCCAGGCCTCCCTGGGAACCAAGACAGTGACTGCTTTATGTGTGAAATTCCATTTTACTGCTGAAGTCCGAAGAATGAACAAGTTATAATAAAGACACGAAGTAGCATTGCAAGACAATTATTCAGCCTATATGGTGCTTTTTGTTGTTGATTTCCTGACACAGGGTCTCACTATATAGCTCGAACTGATGGTAATCCTCCTGCCTCAGCTTCCCGAGTGCTGGGATCACAGGTGTGCACCACCAGCTCAGCTCCACTCACTTTTCCTGGAAGGATCATTAACAAACAGATAAAATTTCACTGGCCGAAGTGGTGTGCACCCCATAATCACAGCACTTTGGGAGGCTGAGGCAGGAGGATGAGACAGTGGTGAAGACTGTCCCACTGGGCACTTTAGCAAGACTCTGTCTCAAGTTTGAAAAACTTAGAAAGGAAAAGAGCTTGGGATGTGGCTCAGTGGGCAGGCCCTGGTCCCCAGTACTTAAAAAAAAAGAAAAGAAAAAAGAAAAAGAACAGAAGAGAGAAAGACTACATTTGCCTTAGAAAAACTGAAATTCCCACATTGCCAACTACAAAATAAAAATTTTATGAAATGAAAAATTATAGGCACTATAAACCTGACTACTGTAATCAGCAGTAACTTATGTTTGTAGTAGTTTTGTATTCGAAGTCTTTTATCAAAATAAGATAAGCAAGTGGTGGTAATCCTCGTAAGGGGATATTACTCAACGATGGAAAGAAACGAGCTACCCAGCCCTGCAGAGCCGCAGAGGAAGCTCAGACGCACTTGCCAGGTGACAGAAGCTGCATTGCAGGGTCCCGACTGTGTGACATTCAGGGAAAGACACAACCCTGGAGACGGAGCGAGGCCAGCAGTTACCTGCCGGGGAGCTGGGGTGGGAGGACGGGAGTGGCACTGAATTGATTGATTGCAAGTGATAGTGAAATGGTAAATAAACATCGGACACTTGGTAGAGCCCACAGAACATATGGCACAGAGGGACCCTAAAGCAAACTAAGACTTTAATAGTAATTTATCACCCTGGAAGTAGTAGTTTGGGTGTGTAATGCCACCACTTGGGAGGTGTAATTGTAGCCATCCTCCTGCCTCAGGATTACCACCACTTGCTTATCTTATTTTGATAAAAGACTTCGAATACAAAACTACTACAAGGGTGTGTAATGCCACCACTTGGGAGGCTGAGGCAGGAGGATGGCTACAAGTTTGAGGCCAGCCTAGGCTACACTGTGAGACCTCGCCTCAAAAAAAAACTAATAATAACAACAACAATAATACTAAATCAACATTGGCTCATCAATGCTAACAAATACATCACATAAAAAGCAAGCTGTCAATAAAAGGGGAAACTACCAAAAACACCAAAAAATAAAATAAAATAAAAAATAAAAGGGGAAACTACAGGAGACGGTGCAAAGGAACATGGGAACTCACCACACTTTCAGCTCACTGTTCTCTAA